TTTGTCCTGCAGACTGAAAGGAAGGTCAGGACTATCAACGAGGTTCATGATAATGAGAGAGTCGTCACGAACTGTTGTTAATTTACCAGGTTTCATGGCGGATTCATGTTTAATGACTTGCTGTTTGGAGGTCCGTGTGCGTTTATGAGGCTTGGGCTCTTTTGTGACCGGACGAACAGTCTTGGGAGTAGACTGTGCGACCAAATCACCAGTTAATTTCTGTACAGCAACACTTGGGTTGCTCGGCTTAGGCGGTGATGCCTGGTTCTTTTGGGCTCTCTCTAGGTTACTAACCAGGGACTCAGATCGTTCGCTACTACTGGAAAGCTCACAAAGCGAAATCATCTTTAGCTCTCTCGGTTAAGTAACGCTGTTTGGATATTGAAACGCCACCAACTTTTGAAGAGTCAAGGACGATGTCTTGTTTTTGTATTGTATGTCTCCTTTTTAAGTTGATAAAATAATGAAGTAATATTTTTCAACACTTGGGTTGCTCGGCTTAGGCGGTGATGCCTGGTTCTTTTGGGCTCTCTTAACATGGGTCGAATCACCTACAGGGTTTTTGGGAACCACTGTTGAGTTCAGGGACCCTGAGCTGGGAGACCCGAGTTTGCTTAGGGAGTCTAATACCTTCGACGTAATGATGGTGCTGAGCCTCGACACGTCATCAATAGTGTTGATGGATGCTCCATCGATGGTATACCTATCGACATCCCTGTTTTTGTATCCGTCGCACGCTCTTGTTTGTCTACCGGTTTTCTTACTGTCGTTGTCCAAGTTAACTGACTACTTGTTTTGAAGACCTGTCAGTAGGACAATGATGTTACTCAGCAAAACTACAGCATCCGTGCTGCACGTGACACATACACATTTTTGGTCTGACTTGCTGAGTCTGTTGTAAACAGTTGATGTCAGATCTGTGCATGCTTCGTGGAACCAACCTTTGCAGTTGTCGCACTGCATGCCAGTTGCAACAGCAAAACGGCATCCCGGACGTTTGCATGAGTTTTTCATGACTATGTTGAAGCAAACTATGTTGTAGATGCTTGCAAGAGCCTAAGACCTTTAAAAAACACTAAAAAGCACAATGAAAACGGATAAAAATGGATAAAACGAGTGTTATAAACTGAAACTAGTCTATACGTAAAAAACAAAAACAAACCGAATAGTAAACTGAGGCAAAACCACAGGTAACTATTAAATATGGTGAAACTCAAAAAATAGTAATCTACCGAACGTATAGCTCGGGATAGATTCTTTAGAACTGAAATGGTACTTTTGTTGCGTAAGAACACAGCAAAAGTTTGATAAATGCAAATCACGTTAGTACTAAACTTCCCGTTCGAAAAGCGCGTTAGTTTTTTCAGTCATTTAAAATAGTAGTTAAAACTATTCTACCAATACTTATATGGCTTTTGTTTAATATATCTAGGTTACTAACCAGGGACTCAGGTCGTTCGCTACTACTGGAAAGCTCACAAAGCGAAATCATCTTTAGCTCTCTCGATTAAGTAACGCTGTTTGGATATTGAAACGCCACCAACTTTTGAAGAGTCAAGGACGATGTCTTGTTTTTGTATTGTATGTCTCCTTTTTAAGTTGATAAAATAATGAAGTAATATTTTTCAACACTTGGGTTGCTCGGCTTAGGCGGTGATGCCTGGTTCTTTTCGGCTCTCTTAACATGGGTCGAATCACCTACAGGGTTTTTGGGAACCACTGTTGAGTTCAGGGACCCTGAGCTGGGAGACCCGAGTTTGCTTAGGGAGTCTAATACCTTCGACGTAATGATGGTGCTGAGCCTCGACACGTCATCAATAGTGTTGATGGATGCTCCATCGATGGTATACCTATCGACATCCCTGTTTTTGTATCCGTCGCACGCTCTTGTTTGTCTACCGGTTTTCTTACTGTCGTTGTCCAAGTTAACTGACTACTTGTTTTGAAGACCTGTCAGTAGGACAATGATGTTACTCAGCAAAACTACAGCATCCGTGCTGCACGTGACACATACACATTTTTGGTCTGACTTGCTGAGTCTGTTGTAAACAGTTGATGTCAGATCTGTGCATGCTTCGTGGAACCAACCTTTGCAGTTGTCGCACTGCATGCCAGTTGCAACAGCAAAACGGCATCCCGGACGTTTGCATGAGTTTTTCATGACTATGTTGAAGCAAACTATGTTGTAGATGCTTGCAAGAGCCTAAGACCTTTAAAAAACACTAAAAAGCACAATGAAAACGGATAAAAATGGATAAAACGAGTGTTATAAACTGAAACTAGTCTATACGTAAAAAACAAAAACAAACCGAATAGTAAACTGAGGCAAAACCACAGGTAACTATTAAATATAGTGAAACTCAAAAAATAGTAATCTACCGAACGTATAGCTCGGGATAGATTCTTTAGAACTGAAATGGTACTTTTGTTGCGTAAGAACACAGCAAAAGTTTGATAAATGCAAATCACGTTAGTACTAAACTTCCCGTTCGAAAAGCGCGTTAGTTTTTTCAGTCATTTAAAATAGTAGTTAAAACTATTCTACCAATACTTATATGGCTTTTGTTTAATATATCTAGGTTACTAACCAGGGACTCAGGTCGTTCGCTACTACTGGAAAGCTCACAAAGCGAAATCATCTTTAGCTCTCTCGATTAAGTAACGCTGTTTGGATATTGAAACGCCACCAACTTTTGAAGAGTCAAGGACGATGTCTTGTTTTTGTATTGTATGTCTCCTTTTTAAGTTGATAAAATAATGAAGTAATATTTTTCAACACTTGGGTTGCTCGGCTTAGGCGGTGATGCCTGGTTCTTTTGGGCTCTCTTAACATGGGTCGAATCACCTACAGGGTTTTTGGGAACCACTGTTGAGTTCAGGGACCCTGAGCTGGGAGACCCGAGTTTGCTTAGGGAGTCTAATACCTTCGACGTAATGATGGTGCTGAGCCTCGACACGTCATCAATAGTGTTGATGGATGCTCCATCGATGGTATACCTATCGACATCCCTGTTTTTGTATCCGTCGCACGCTCTTGTTTGTCTACCGGTTTTCTTACTGTCGTTGTCCAAGTTAACTGACTACTTGTTTTGAAGACCTGTCAGTAGGACAATGATGTTACTCAGCAAAACTACAGCATCCGTGCTGCACGTGACACATACACATTTTTGGTCTGACTTGCTGAGTCTGTTGTAAACAGTTGATGTCAGATCTGTGCATGCTTCGTGGAACCAACCTTTGCAGTTGTCGCACTGCATGCCAGTTGCAACAGCAAAACGGCATCCCGGACGTTTGCATGAGTTTTTCATGACTATGTTGAAGCAAACTATGTTGTAGATGCTTGCAAGAGCCTAAGACCTTTAAAAAACACTAAAAAGCACAATGAAAACGGATAAAAATGGATAAAACGAGTGTTATAAACTGAAACTAGTCTATACGTAAAAAACAAAAACAAACCGAATAGTAAACTGAGGCAAAACCACAGGTAACTATTAAATATGGTGAAACTCAAAAAATAGTAATCTACCGAACGTATAGCTCGGGATAGATTCTTTAGAACTGAAATGGTACTTTTGTTGCGTAAGAACACAGCAAAAGTTTGATAAATGCAAATCACGTTAGTACTAAACTTCCCGTTCGAAAAGCGCGTTAGTTTTTTCAGTCATTTAAAATAGTAGTTAAAACTATTCTACCAATACTTATATGGCTTTTGTTTAATATATCTAGGTTACTAACCAGGGACTCAGGTCGTTCGCTACTACTGGAAAGCTCACAAAGCGAAATCATCTTTAGCTCTCTCGATTAAGTAACGCTGTTTGGATATTGAAACGCCACCAACTTTTGAAGAGTCAAGGACGATGTCTTGTTTTTGTATTGTATGTCTCCTTTTTAAGTTGATAAAATAATGAAGTAATATTTTTCAACACTTGGGTTGCTCGGCTTAGGCGGTGATGCCTGGTTCTTTTGGGCTCTCTTAACATGGGTCGAATCACCTACAGGGTTTTTGGGAACCACTGTTGAGTTCAGGGACCCTGAGCTGGGAGACCCGAGTTTGCTTAGGGAGTCTAATACCTTCGACGTAATGATGGTGCTGAGCCTCGACACGTCATCAATAGTGTTGATGGATGCTCCATCGATGGTATACCTATCGACATCCCTGTTTTTGTATCCGTCGCACGCTCTTGTTTGTCTACCGGTTTTCTTACTGTCGTTGTCCAAGTTAACTGACTACTTGTTTTGAAGACCTGTCAGTAGGACAATGATGTTACTCAGCAAAACTACAGCATCCGTGCTGCACGTGACACATACACATTTTTGGTCTGACTTGCTGAGTCTGTTGTAAACAGTTGATGTCAGATCTGTGCATGCTTCGTGGAACCAACCTTTGCAGTTGTCGCACTGCATGCCAGTTGCAACAGCAAAACGGCATCCCGGACGTTTGCATGAGTTTTTCATGACTATGTTGAAGCAAACTATGTTGTAGATGCTTGCAAGAGCCTAAGACCTTTAAAAAACACTAAAAAGCACAATGAAAACGGATAAAAATGGATAAAACGAGTGTTATAAACTGAAACTAGTCTATACGTAAAAAACAAAAACAAACCGAATAGTAAACTGAGGCAAAACCACAGGTAACTATTAAATATGGTGAAACTCAAAAAAATAGTAATCTACCGAACGTATAGCTCGGGATAGATTCTTTAGAACTGAAATGGTACTTTTGTTGCGTAAGAACACAGCAAAAGTTTGATAAATGCAAATCACGTTAGTACTAAACTTCCCGTTCGAAAAGCGCGTTAGTTTTTTCAGTCATTTAAAATAGTAGTTAAAACTATTCTACCAATACTTATATGGCTTTTGTTTAATATATCTAGGTTACTAACCAGGGACTCAGGTCGTTCGCTACTACTGGAAAGCTCACAAAGCGAAATCATCTTTAGCTCTCTCGATTAAGTAACGCTGTTTGGATATTGAAACGCCACCAACTTTTGAAGAGTCAAGGACGATGTCTTGTTTTTGTATTGTATGTCTCCTTTTTAAGTTGATAAAATAATGAACTAATATTTTTCAACATAGTGACGTATATAACTAACACCAATGTAATAGGTTTTGTTTAAACGGAAAAATGGTGTTATGAGACTTGAGGGAGTGTATTTGTATTGACGAGAAAAGGAAAGTAATATGGAAGATGGGACTAAACCAAAAATACCACGGTGAAGCAGTATTTTTCATTTCGTCTGTTATTTTCACCTGACTGCGGCTGGATTGCAGATGTTTTTTTCCCTTTCTCATTATGTTTGCTGTTGATTACGAGTGTATTTTTTCTTTACCATACATATTTTCTCCCAATTCCAGACTGAATTACTCTAACAAACATCTCATTGTCTGTGGACATCATTTCAGTAAGTGCTCAGAAACATGACGTGTTTACTACTCTATGAAACTAAAAACAGCGATTCATCGTAATCAGTAAGACATGGTATTTGACGCTACTCAACCCTAAACGTCTGCTGTAGATAAGTCTCCGTTTTGAGAATTCTAAGACTGGAGAATATAAAGTATCCGTCTACTTACTATGACATCTGTTCGATGTGTGGCATATCGATATGCCACACACAATACTGATCAGTATTGTTGCGAACAACATATAAGACGTTACCAAGCTCACCGATAATTAGGTTTCATCTCCCGACTATTACCATGAAAATAAGATGCTAAGACGACAATAAAACCATACATCAAACGATGGCAATAGCCAAATAAAGATAGTCATCTAAGGCTGAGTGCAATAACACGTGCATCTTTCATAGATCTGACGGGTTCAGAGACGCCTCTTAGAAATGTGTTTTCGTAGCATATAATGCAGCAGCTTCCAAACCTTTCATTGTTGGTCCAACGAAATATGGTAGGATAATAGTTCTAAAGGCGGTATTTGTGCATTGTCGTCTCATATCTAATCGGATTGTAGAATTTAAGCTGAATGGTGGCAATAATAAATGTATTTTTTGTCATATTCCAGTGAACAGAAAAATTGTTTTTGTTGTTTCGTGACTTGATGCAAACCATCTCTTCGGAGTAAATAAATATTTGAACTAAATTAACACGTTCCCTTCGTACTATTTAAACTTATGTTAATTTAATTCGGTTATTTATTTGCTCCGAAGAAGTGGTTTGCATTAAGTCACGAAACATCAGAAATACAATTTTCCTACTCATTCGATTATAACAAAAACTATGTTTATTATTAGTTTTCTGCCTAATGCTCAATTTATTTGAAACTATCAAGTCCAACTTTGGCACTGAATAGTGGCAAATTTAGATATATTTTGTTCCCATCTGGGGTTTACCTTTAAGTCAGATTATCAGAAAATTCAAAATCCTGGTGGCGTACATAAATACCCCTGTTTTGGTCTTTTAGGTCGTCTTTTCAAATAATCAACTTTCCTTTATTTTCCTGACAAAAGTCAAACTTGTATCATGATCATGTGGTTTTAATACTTACAGTAGTTGGGAGAGGATCTTGAAACACGTTAACCATAAAGTTACTTCCTTATTTCGTATGCGGCTTATAAGTTTTAGTGTCAGTTGGATTATACTGGGTCAACATCTGGTCAGTAATCACGCTGCCTGATTTTACAAAATCAGTAACTCCTTAGTGTGTGGTATGACAACAATGATGTGTGGCTCGTATTTGGTGGGGGTAGCCGATTGTTTAGTTAGTTATCATAAGCTGTTTGCTTTCAAATGTATAGTGAGGAGTTATGTTTCGTAAGTACATTATAAGGCAATAATTTAAAGTATCTAAATGAATTTCATCTGAGTCATTCAGTTTTCAAATGTTAGTTTTCCAATCGATTGTGACTAAGGGATAAATTTAATACTAGTCAAACTGATTTGGATTGAGCTCTTAATATTCTGATTTTATCTAACGCAGTTCATCAGTATGCGAATCAAAGTTGGGTTCTAACTTGTCAAATTAATTGATTATATTGGCTTTGTCTCGACTGTGGGTTATTTCATTCATTTTTATTTATTTAATTCTAAATCTGGTACAACTGGACAAAATCAAGGTGGGATTGTGAAGAAATAAGCGAGGGAAAGGGAGCACAATCAAATAAGTAAATAAAAAGCATAGTATGCAGGAGTAACTGCTGAGTTAAAAACAAGCAAGAAAATTTTTTTCAATCAAACGTGTTCTTACTTTGGAGAATTTAAGATAAAACTACTATAGTTTCTACGAGCTTCCATTCTGAGCTATGTCTGATAGCGTTGTGCCAGCTAGTGCTCAACCAATATAGATCGACACTGACCTCACCGGCGCGTTGTAAACTCGAACTTTTACAACCAGAATAACATAATGATGACACGAAAGATGGCCTAGATTGAGATGTAGGGCTCTGGCTTGGATAATGCATGGACTAATTTCATTTGTCACTTAAACATCAGTACAAAATGACGTAGATGCACTTGCTTTTTAGTCGCTTCCAAAAGCTCATCACAAATGATGAGTGCATAAAATTGTATAATCTTTGGAGTACATTGCGTTTGGAAATTACATAGTACATGCCGTACCTACAGACACTAAAAATTCATTAAGCATATTTTGGGTTGATTGTATATCATCATACAGCAAAGCGATTCTACGTACATATTTAGGGTTGGAAATTCCAGGTATCAGATGCACCACCACTGAGTACTTCCTTCAGAGCTGTTTTTCAAGATGTCAGTGAAAATCCTTTTAGAACGATACATTCAGGAAATGTATGTCATTACTCTGATTAAGTCATTTGTGCAAAAAGTCTTAATAAAAAACTCGTACGCGTACACTTTTTAAGCGGATAATTTGGGGCTTCAGTTTTGTCCATTGAGTCAAAGGTAGCCCCGAGCTGAACTAAAACAGCGATTGTTGAACTCCGGTAAGTGGTGTCCCGGGCTTTTGAGGGAAGAACATGATTAATATATTCATGATACAAGCAAAAAACCGGCCTGTAACTGGCGAGTCGGTTTTTCACAATCTTTGCATAGTCTGCGGAGTTTGACGTAATCAAATATTGTGGACGCAGTCGAAAATGAAATCATCCCCCGGAAGGTTTTGGAAAGAACTTAGGGCTTTTTAAAAAATGGGGACGACATCGCCATATTTTAGGGTGTTAGAACACTAGTTCCCAAACCTTTCCGAGCAACCTAGTCATTTTTATGGCTGGAGGTTTACCACCTTCCTTTAAAATAGCCGGGAGTACGTCATCTGAACCCGGCGACTTGTAGTGCTTCACAAATTAGAGCTCCTTGGTGATCGCTTCATTAGGTGTATCAGTAGTCGCGAACCTTAGAGAACAGAACGATCTACCGAGTTACTTGATCCATACACAAATTTTGGAAGATTTCTTGAAGTAACAATCTAATTGTATCATCAAACGTTTCGCGGGAATAGGCTGGGGTGCCTCAAGGCATAAAGGCTAGTCTTTTGACATAAACATATACTGTGCTCGGTGTTTTGTAAGTGGAAAATATTCTGAATATTCAATACATAATCTGTTCAAACTAGATATAATAACCTTGATGTTATCAAATATTGATCATACTGTAGTTCACTATTAACGTATAAACTTTGGCGAAACCATCTGATATATATTTCATGGTTGTATTGTGTGAACTGTATCTTTTCATATATATCCTCGTTTCTTGTTTCATACCGTATAATCTTCCCTCTTTTTTAACGTTATTTCAATGGCAAGTTTTCCTTATTTATAGAGCACCTCAGATACAAGACCAGGGGCTTGTAATTAATATCGTACTTTTAATTTATTTATCATTAAGAGGAAAGCATTAAACATTAGAATTTTCTGTACTCTACTGTTGGTCACACTTATTAAAGTTGAGGTACATCAGTTGCCTTCTAATATTAAATAAAATAAATGAGAATTTAAACTAGTTAATTAAAAATAGAAAGTTGAGTACTTAAAGAATCAAGCTACAGTTACAACCTCTAGAAACACTAACCCAAAGGATGTGCAGTTACAGAACAAGTTAGTTTAGCGTTAATTTACAGCTTGAATCATTTATACCTATGTTATCGCTTTTTGTCATAGTGTAAGTTGTGACAATAAGGTGTGTTGTTATGGGCTAAATATGATTCAGCATTATTCTTAAGTTTTTAGGACTGCTCATGGATCAATTTGTACAGTAGGTAAATGGATTCAGACGTATAAAGTGGAGAGACGGGTGTTTTTTCGTCCGGTTTTCCATATGGACAGAATTTAGACTTTCAGCAACTAATTTACTTTCCGGTTCTGTGGAAGTTTTGAAACGATGCTATAAGCGCGGTTATTGGGATTAATACAGTGTACTAAGTTCTCTGTAGAAATTACCGCGATTATTTTTATCCCATTACTTAATAACTTCTTTTTGTTTAATAAGATTCCCTCTAGTTTACTTGTTTCTCTTTATAAAGTTTGTTATGAAGCAGGAAACATTGAAGTTAGTTAATTTTCTACATGAAACTTATTTCACTGTTGACTTCAGTGATTAATTAAATTCATCCGTTAAGGTTGAGGAGAGCACAATGAATCATGTCTTCTGCTTGTCTATTTCTTGATTTTTTAGTCTATTGAGGACCACTAGTCACTAGCTCAAAGTGTGGTTAGCATACTCTGCATTGTTTTTTATATTTTAGTGCTTTTGGCGATGTTTCAAAAACAGGCTTACAGAGAAAAATGCAAAAATTCTTAAAAAAATCCTGTATTATATCAGTAGTGCAGACAATCAAACTAATGAACAGGTTAGTCAGAAATACACCTTTTATAATATGTCTACCATTTTAATCTGTTTGTAACAGCATATATCTAACTTCCGAATCAATTAATAATTTTTCTCATGTTTGTCCATAGTCTCTCGACGTCAGCGGTTTTGTCACAAAAACAAACCGCGACATTTCCATCTAGGCTTTAATTTCTGATAATTTCTTGACTGCTAGATCTTTGGTCAAAAAGGGAGTAGTAGTGAGTGATAAGATGGGAGACGCAGACGGCAGATATCAGCGATAATAGAAAACTGTTCATACTTACTGTGGAAGTGGATTAAAAATTTATGGTAGTAAAGAAAATGTAATTCAGTGATCCTCTTTTAACTCAAACGACCGAGACAGCTCCGACTCGTTACTTTTCGGTTGCCTGATATCAGTTAGCAACCTGAATGGTAAGTATTCATCTGGCTTCCGAATTTCGGTATTAGTAGGATAAACCTCAAGACAGATACTTAATATTCACTCGCATTTGGTCAGCATATGCTACATGTGTTTGTGGGTTAGCTGAGTGTACTAAAATAGTGAGTCTCAGTGATTTACTAGGCACAGGTTTTGTGCACAAATTAGAGCCACGTTGTTTCAGTCCTAGTGATACTACTGCTCGGCTGCCTAAATTAAAATACGTCAAATGGGGTTGAAACCTTAAGCTTGCTTTTTGGGGACCGAATTCTTGAAATATTATTCGAATGTTTCAGAAGGCGCCTACACACGGTCCAAGTGCTCAGTGTATTACCGTACTGTCGTACGTTGACTGCAAGTTTTGTGCTACTTAAAGAACTTACTGAGGAGGATAGTGAGGACATAAGATCAATGGTTTTATATAAGTCAGCCGATGAATATAAAAATCAGTTGTCAAACACTTGATACAAGTTTTGGGCCTTCGGGCCGAACTTATTTAGTGTGCCAGTTTAGGCAAGTTCTCATATTCTCCTGGATTATGACTGGTTGACTTCTCTTATCTATGTACCGGATATATTACGTGTATCTGAATTAATTACAGGGTTGGAAGAGTTGCAATTTAAACAGATAAAAACGTGACTAGTATCGTGAGGCCTGTGATCTCTTTGGGGAGTTACAGGAAAGCACTGGTTTGGTCGAAATTCACGAGATATCAAAAAATGTGTAAAATTACTAAGTAATACTCCACAAAAGCCCTAATTGTTAGAGATTCCTTCAAATTCTTTCTTAAAACTCCGAGTATTCAATCACTTTATACTCACAATATTAGATAGGATTTAGTAATCAACCCTTCGAAAGTGAATCTAATGTAAAGTGAATCAAGTGGGGTAAGAGACCACTCCTAAAGATTTTCACGTGTTTTAGTAATCTTTAAGATGGCACATATGATACCCTTGCAGTTCGTCGTTAAACTCAGATTCGAGGTTTATTACTGTTATTCGTATGATACAACTGCCTATGCGCTCCGGAGGATGATGGAACCTTTAACCAACTAAATATGTGTGAATTTTCCCTTCTTCTTACTGCAGTCAAACGATCTCATTAAATAATCAATGAATCCAGCACTTATGAAACTTCATTCTTCGCTATGATACCCTTGTAGTTCTAAAATAAAGGGAACATCTCTCAAACTTTGTGATGTTTTTAAGCTTAGGCTAATTGACCCAAAACCATTAAAATTATTTTATCCTACCCTTTTAAAAGCTTCCTAGAGTTATTCGAAATATGATGATTCACTATAATATCTCTGAAGCAGCACTTTCGTAAGTCTATTTTGCTTTCTCTGGGACGCCCATATGCTATGTTTACGTGGTCCTATAAAGTTAAAAACCAACTACTATGCGTAAGCCTTACGTTCGTATCATTTATCTCTCCGTTTGGTCGATAAGTAGTGTCGAGCATGTAGTGTGCAAACGTCGGGTATATCTTTACATTTCATTATATTTGATAGTCATATATTATCATCACTCAATTATTTTAAACAATACTATTTCATATTAAAAATTTAGTTTTAGTTTTTTGAATATCAGTACTTCGTGTCTCAGCTTCACATTGTTTTTAATAGTATCATTTATGCAGATATAGTCAGTCTTATTGAATAAGTTTGCTGTCATACCTCGTTTTTGTTTGTTTGGTTGATAGTTATGGAAACCTTGATACTTCTATTCATGTGAAGTTTCTGTAGACATAGTGTTTAGATTGAACCGTTTTGCGTTTGACTGATAAGTGAATCTAAGAAAGGAAGTTGGTTATTCTTCTCGCCAAAGTGCTCTGGTACGATCGAGGGTGGAGAGTTCGCTTTCCCCCTCAAAATGCTCCGATATGGCCATACGTCTATAACCACTGCTTTCCCACAGCGGGCTTAGTGTTTACGAAATTGAGAGGACGAAAAGCGTATGTCCGGCATTCGTCTCTTAGCAGTAAGCTCATTGGCTTCACTATAACGAATCTCACAAAAGTTTACTCATGATCTACAATCATGAAATATAGATTATGGTGGTGTAGTAGCATTCTGAGTCATAACCTTTGACTATTAATATATGCATTTTTAAATGAACGTCAGCTGCAAAAATGTGAAACCAAATAACTAGTGCAAGTAAACCAAAGCGCGTTACTGAATAACCTCTCGATAAAATAATTAAGGTTACATCTGTTTGGACTCGACTGTCAAGTTTGGTATATGTTGTTTAGAGTCAGTGGTCTAGGGTTTCATTCATTATGACTTTTTCTATATTCAGTAGACCAGTTTGTTTTAACAAGCATGAAGTCTGTGGTATCTAGATCTTTATAAGCTTTTGTAATATATAATAATAAATGATTATATTACTCTTCGCTTTTCAAGCTCAACTATGTAATTCAGGAAATATACATGGCGATATCGAATGAATATACGGACAGTACTATTTTTCTCGAAAAGCTGAAAAGCACCATAATAAAGGGCAAACAATTGCATAATTCCAGTCATGATATTAAGTAAGTAAATTATATCTCGTCTTTTTAAGTATTTAAATAAAAATAGTGAAAATCTGTTTTGTCTGATCGAAAGATGTTAAAATCCAATTTTTAGGATCAATAATCAACATTCGAATACTACAAAAGGACATAGGAAGTCGGAGAATTGTTCTATACAATCGTTTCCTCAGTCAGTAAATAATTATAGTTCTCAATTTTCAGAATACAGAACTGATGAGAAAAATTATGACTTTTCTCACTCCCAACTTCAGTTAGTTTTGAGAATGGAAGGCATCCGTGATTGGCTCAATTTAATTGCTTCATGTGGTCTATTAAATGAACTTGATCCACCACTTCCACGTATTTCTTCTATGGAAAGGCATATACGGATCGGGTCTTGGAACCTTAACCGCTTTGATTTAAGTAAAGCTAAACATCCAGGGTTCATGGAAGTTGTTTGCCTGACCATTTTACGAATGAACGTCTCATTAATATTGCTTCAAGAAGTTTCAGACCCCTTAGTTGCTGATTATGTAAGTTGTCTTTCGATAAATTGTTTTGGATTGTTACAACTAAAACATCACATCAACTCTCTTTTTGACAAATGTACGAATAATTACTGGGTAAGGTATCCTACAGGTTACGTTGGACTCATCAAGTTTATTTCATAGCAAATCCTTTAAATAACAGTCATTGGTTTTGTATGATTTACTGTCTTCATGTTTTGTTATATTAGTCAGTGTAACATTTCAGACCAGTAATGCACGTGATTACAAGGTTTTTAATTTAATCAAAAATACGTAAGTTATTTTTACTCTGTATGTGTTTATAGTTGCTAAGATAACATGCCTTTAGCGTTTATTTATTAGGGGTGATTCGTGTAATTATTGATTTGTTTATTAACTTTTGTCTGCACTTTTGCTCAACCAGTAGCGTATTTCTTACTTATGTATTTGCGACAGTTTTTCGTGTTCATTATTTTCCTGAGAATTGATCTGTGGTAACCAGTCTGTAATTTTCATCTAGTCAAGCTGTAGGTGATCGAGAATAGTAAATAGATAGCATTAAGTGTACAATATTATTTCCAGCTGGTTGGTTTTTTTGAGAGTGGAATGCACATATTTATCTTTTTGAGATCTTAGAAAGATAAGACATGGATTCGAGTTGTTGCATTTCGAAATAATCCACCATGTAAAACAAAACGGTAAAAAGGAATTAGGAAAAATAAATATATTAATAAGACGTGAGAGTGATTGTGGCTAAAGGATTGCAGTTTTAACTTATATATATGGTAGATATGTTTGCACCATTGTGTCTGGTTTTGAAATATTTTACATAGTATCTTCAAACATCTGCCCTTACTATCCCATAAATCCATGCCCGGTGTGGTGACGAGCTGAGATATGATCACAGTTAATGTAAGTTTAAACTCTGTAGTACATTTAGTTTAAAAACATGGTTATTTTGACGATTCTTCTCAGCAGTATTTTATCAAACTGTATAACTTTTTTCCTCATTTTTATCCGTACATATTGCTAATCATTCTAGCTGTGCAATGAGCTAAATTATCCATCTCTTCCCCACGTAAAACGATGGGTTGAAAAATTTCCTCTGTCTACTCCCCCGTACTGGAAAGCGTCATGTTCGATCCAACCAACCGGTTCCATGTTTCGTGCAAAAGAGTATGCCGTTTTTCTTTATAATTCTCGATGTGGTATTCGGATTTCTCGGACAAGTTTATTGGAAAAATCTTCTAACTCATTACCTGTTTCAAGAAAGTCGTTTACACGCAGTCCATGTGGAGCCTCCTGCCATGTATGTAACAAAAGGTGTTTAAAAGCAAATGCTAGTTTAAAAATATTTCTTTTGTTCAATTTAATATGAAACCATGTACCATGATTTTGGCTGACTTGATAAAACTTAGTGATATACAAATATTTAATTCTTCTCATAGGCTTACTTTCCAGCACTGAATTGCTTATTTTTTCCAGCGTTTTATTTTTGGTTTTTTTTAACCCTATTGTCTGTGATATGCTATACTTTCGTCTGTGTAATTTCATCTACTTTTTTTCTATTCAACTACTCATCACTTTAATGTTTGACATATTTTCTAAGTTATTACTGAGTAACCTATTTCGTCATAAACTTGAGAAGTGTATGTACGTAATATTCGAGAAACTTGATTACATCATCAGCCCTTATACAACAGATGTTGCCCATATCTCCAAGGATACATGTGTATATATTTATGAAGTGGCATTTATTTTTGTTCATCAATGAGCTAGTGAGGATCAAAGGCAGTTATTATATTATTTTGATATTATTATTACACGTAGTCTTACTCTTGAAATGTGTTGGAACATCGTCACTCATTTTATAAATATCTACAACGTTACCATCTGGACATCAACCGCTATGTACATGGATTGTTTTAATTTACTTTCAGATTCAACATATTAACTTAGTTCTCATTTCAGTACATTTGAAGGCAAGTGGATTAAGAAATAGTCAAATTGGCAGGACTATCTCAGAAATTGAATCTCTCGGCTATCTTGTTCAAGCTTTTTATGAAACACAACCTAGTAAGTATATTAGTGTTTGATTAAATGTTTTCGTACGATTGTTGAGGGCGAACAGTTCGAAATATTTACGTGTGAAGATTATTAAGACTATCCAGTCCAATGATTCTTGACTTTTTGTTATATTTGTAGTATTTGACTAAAGGAACTCATTGTTATTTTTAACACTAACAAAGAATTGTTTTTTTTTGCTTAGTAGCTAGTTATGTTATTCGATGAACAGTAGTTCTTAAAAATATTCACTTCCTAAAGTTTTGGATTTGTGGAATGGCTGTAATCAGGGTCGTCCATTTTCGACCTTTAGATTTAATATGTGAATCACTAACCGATAACTCTTATGAATCTATGATACCGACGAATAGATTTTGACGTACAAAAACTGGCATAATGTCAGGGAAACAATCCTAACTTTTTGAAAGGCGAACCAACATATTTCGATCATTTTCGAGCCTTAAGATTGTTAAATAACTTACACGTATTTTTTTCACAGACAAACTTCTTTACAACGTATTTCCAAGTTAATATGAATCGTTATTTATCTTTCAGGTGGAACATATCTCATTATAGCTGGTGATTTCAATCTCTTCCCAACACATGAAGGTTAGTTTAGATCCATAATAAATAGGAACTATGTAGCTGATTAAATCTCTCTGAATAGACTTAGAAGTAAATCATATGTATTTTGTTATGTGAATTATTCTACGTGAAATAACTAGTGAAAGTTTTTCACAATCTAACCGCGAAATTTTAGTGAGACTGGCAATTGTAAGCAATTTATTCTATTTAAGGACACTTTGCTTCACATAAAATGTATTGCTATGCAGATGTTTGGGAAGTTATTTGTTAATACGTGGATCTACATAAAACAATATCCATCTAAGAAACTCAGAAAAAAACCTAAAATTCGCTTGTAACGCTGGTATTCATGGTCTTCAATTTAATCGTAGTCTACTGTTGCGAATCGATAGTGGTCAAACTATTTATAAGTTTTGTGACAGTATCGAAATATACAGGTAGGTTTTGAACTTTTCTCAGAGTTTTTCCCTGAATGTGCGTTGCAGCTAGAAATGACCCGTCTCTTACAAGTTCTCTTGTATTACACTTAACTAGTTTCGTCAATAAGGTAAGGTTATTTACATTTTGTAAAGACATGCAACACCTATTCACTTTGTAGTTTGTGTCCACCTATTTTGTGATAATAAATAATTTTACTGGGTCGCATAAATCTCATATAAAACGGAATTCGAACACAACTCGAGCAGTTGAAAATGATAATACTGAATAACTGGAACAAACGAGATCTGGCAGTTGATTTTCTTACTAAAACTTTCTTAGCAAGTATTTGTCGTCTTCATTCAAATAAATAAATTCCGCTATTTCCACGAAGTAAATTGTTAGCATAACGTTTTTAAACTTACTCTCGAGAGATCACATTTCACAGGGAAGATATTTTCTCACATTTCCAGGAAACCAAGAACTCCATGTTAAAATAAGATATGATCAAAATCATATTTGTTTCTGTATTCTTAGGAACGACTAGTCTTATTGCAAAATAGAGTGTGGTGAAATTTCAGGAACAAAGTCAAGTAGTCAAAAGTGATGTAACATTCTAGTAAAAATACCATTCCGTCACTTTCTGAAGGATTACATTTAAGTAACTAAATGTATTGTATCGATTTAGTAATAGACACTAATACAGTAAGAATTTTTATCAATTAAACCAAGTTACTTGCACGCATCATATGCAAACGTGGAGAGATACAAAGTTTAAAAAAGAATGTAAAGTTTCTACAGTTATCGAAGTAAATGTCATTATGGATGTTGTCTAAAAAATTTGCTGCTGAAAGACATATCCCTGGAGGTTTAAGGCTCTCACGACTGATTTGTAAGCTACATTATTTACGATAATTAACGCTTTGACAGGAATAAATTCACAAGAACTCTCTCAACACAACGTGAATATATTCATCATTGCACGAGCCTCTATCTGAATAATTCCAGCAACAGTTCAAAGTAAGTTTCATAATAGCTACCTTAAGTAGCAATTTTGGTTTTGTTGTATTTACAAATGAAGTAGTTTTAGCAGTAATTATTGTGTTAGAGAAGTAGCATAGTGTTTATAAAAACCACGTTTTATATGTATTTTCGTTTTATTGACTAGTATTATTTCTGATAAAGAGATTTTTCAAACTGTTATCTATTCATTCTTCCTACATTATAGGAGGCAATACTTTAATAATTTCCAGAGTAAATAAACGTAATGCGATCAATTAATCGTTTATGCCAGTTAGATGCAAGCACTCAGATACTCCTGAGCCGTTATGAATTTGTATTTAGTACACTTATAGGTTCATTATTTACTTTCGCTTGTACATAAGTTGAACATTACGCAAATAATTTCCATAATTTTAATTAAAGCTCTCATCATTGTTAATTTAGATTTGATTTATTTATTGCCTCGTTATGCTGATTATCTCTATTTGTTTATTTAAAAGTTTATCGGGTATTGCGTGAACGTGGTTTATGGCCAGTACTCAAAGGTGAACAACAAACTACTATGAATTATTCTAATTCCAGATCTAACCGTTTTAGAGCATATGACAATGCATGGCTTTCTGCTAACCTCTCTTTGACTTCTGAATCCACTATTCGTTGGACTGGTGATTCTGGTGTCATATTAAAAGGGCTCAGACATCCTTTAATTCCGGAGGAAACAGGAAGTGGTGCAAATGGTCTTGTTAGTGATCATGCTCCCATATGGTTTGATATTCACTTAACGTAACAATATCCTGTATTTATGTATAATTTTTTATTAACGAACTTATGATAACGTTGTACATATGTACTTAATAATAAAGAGCATTTATTTTGGCAGCTTCGCCATTAATCTTCTGCCCCGTAACCGAAAATTTGTTCACAGTCAAACCAAGATTTTTCGGTATCCACCTTGTAAAATTCTTCTGTGATTTGACGGCCAGTTTTTCGTGGTGTTTTCCGAATATTAGTCACCTAAAAAATATTTCAATGTTTACTTTTGCTTGTTATGTAGGGTTTTCTATATTTGCAATTGTATATCAATTGTTAGTCGAATTATCTGTACATATCTGTATGTTAATTAATTGACATTGGTACCATCTTACTCGTTGTTTACGACAATTATTTATCCCAACTGTTTCGTGCTTATTACATTAAGGTCTCCAGCTAAATATACTGATCTACTTGTCACGCTTTCCGCGTATACTTAAGATTCCCCCCTACTCAACTTTGTAAATTATTCCTTACTAAGCTTTACAACGCTTAAACAAGTTTGTCATCCCTTTTCGGCCATTCAGACAACCTCGAAATGGTTGCTATTATATATGTCATTAAAATAACTGTAATTCCATATATTGGAATTCTTAAATACTCAAGCAACTTACTTTGTCAAGTGTTTGAAGGTTTTGAATTGTAGGTGTGTTCATCGTGAATGGGCTCAATTTCTTAAACAATGGAAATCCACATTCTTGATTTTGATAGCTTGGCTCTTTCTGGTTGTTCATCATGCTTCCATAATCAGGGGAAGCGAAAAACACTCTTCTACGTTTGGTAGCTGAACCTGGTTGTTTCAATATACTCTTCGGAGTTTTAGTAGGCGTTTCGGCCATATTCTAAGGCGAAGTTTTAAAGTGAACAAAAGTTTTCCTTACCAAATTATCTAGTTTCAAAGATAACGCTGGTGATTTGGGAGTCTGAGTCACCTTTTCGTGAATTTCCTTCGGGAGCTGAGTACTAGCAGGTGGAGAGTTTGCATAAATTTGATGTTGAAATTCCTGATATTCCTTTTCTACACATCGCAGTTTCAGTAGTTCCCTATTATTCTCTGCTAAGATCGTTTCTCGTTCAATTTGATCCTGTTTCATTCTCCTTAGTTCTTCATAAAGCCTTTGTTTTTCATCATTTGCCTCCCTCAATTCTCTCTCCTGAATGTCAGTATTAATTTAGCTAATACGTTGCATACTTGATTTGTTGCTTTTACTTCCAGCTTCTTAAGTTCTTGCTCTTTTTTCATGAGCTTCTTTAGAACTTCCTTCTACAATATATAAAAGTGTTTTAATCAAAGAAATATATTGCTTAACGGGAAGACTGATTTACTGTGAACATGTTTTTACTGCACAGTTGTTCGTTTCTGATGGATATTTATATCCATAGTTTGTTGAGAGCACCTAATCCACGAGACTTTGACGGACTTAATTTTCAAACCATTTTTTACGATGAATTTCTATACGTACGTACTAAACTTCTGCTCTTTTAATTCGTAAGTTAGTGTGTCCATCAATATTGGTAAGACCAACAAATTCTATCAAATTAATGATTTTTATTATACACTCAACATTTATCTCATTAACGAGATTGAATTTCATGAATCGTTTTTACTATAGTGAGAAGTTAAAACTGCTCTAGCTATCTGCTTAGTCTAATTTGTTGATATTACACAGTAAAACCTACTATAATGTATTTGGGTGAAAAGTAGATAGTTCGTCAGAATTGATAATCTCACACAAGTTCTTGATATTATAAGTATTCTTTCATTATTTTGCGTAATTTTAACATAAAGTTCCCTTTCGCTATTGACTCTCTTACAGGAAATCATTTATTATTATCATTTTATTGTGTGTTGATTGATACATTCATCTATCGTATTTCTAGTTCTCAATTAGTTGAGCAGTCAAACTTAGCAAGCAGAAGTAGCATGCTAGTGTTGTCAACTATTAATAATGAACTCTATAGTTATTGTGTTAGTACCAGACTGGTTCCATTTTTCTGGTTTCCTCCCTTTAATAAATGCTAGAAATATTTCCAAAATAAATTTAACAATATATATGACTAATATTTCTTATAGGGATCTGGAATATTTATTTATCCCACCCCTAGCTCGTACTTACGAAATTGTAACTTGGTACATCAGTCATACTTGGAATCCTTAAGATACTGGATGACAGATTTTCTTTAATTGAAACGAACGGTTAAACTTGTAGATTTATTGCTCATATTCAACAACCTATCACTGAAGATTGTACTGATACGTACATTCATAAGATAGCCTATAAATATCGACTAAGTATACCAGTTTTCTTGAAGATTCTTTTTGAGAGACATTTCACTCAACTATGTACGTTTAAATTTGTGGTCCTTTCAATAGAACGAATCATTTCCAACTATCGATAGAATGAAAAGGTTTCTGAACATTCTTATTAAAAATTTGAGTTACTTTGCATGGGAAATGTAATCTATAATTCAAAGTTACAACCAGGTACTAATCTACGAATGTATATCGTTTGACTAGGTAGGGTGAAGTACTCGTGCTTGCCAGAATCGATATTCCAATTTTGTGAGTGATAACGCTAAATATTTACCCAATATATTAATATTAGCATTTTATTTTGTGACGAACTATTTGAAGCATGTAGAGGTGAGGTACTGCGTAACTTTATCATTACTATTAATTTGAATTAGAAATCGTCAAATGAAAACTTTTGGTAATAATATCAATACTTGCAGGTCATTTTCGTATGACCTTGCTTTTTAGTGTGCATTATTACTTTGTTTTCTATTGGAAACTTTTCGTCTAGTATTGTGCACATACACCCAAAATCAATGGAATTATTTAACATTCAGTGTGTTTTTTATGGTTTAAAGTGTAAATACAGTGTGATTGATTAGAAAAGATTATTGAAAATAAGCCGTCTCGTTATTTCTAAACACATACTCATTTCAGTCGAGACTATGTTTGACTCCTTATTCTGTGGTACGTGTGCTAGAATTTTTCGTTTATGCGCAATTACTCAATTTATACAACATAAATCAGATGGTTGTTCCAGACTAAGTTTTGGCAATCCGCTATTTTTGGAATGTTCTCACTGTGATGAATGTTATATCTCACCATTAGATCTTATTGCGCATGTTGAATGTGCACATAGAATATCCATAATGAAACATAGATCTTCAAGCACGGCTAACGACAGTAATGGATTCCTACAAGAAGTAATGTCAGTCTCAGACACAACAAGTTCATCATTTATCGTCACTGAAGACAAAAGTAGCCATAACTCGATTAATTCAAACGATGGGAAGTTGGCACCCTGTCAGTCGGTGAGTCAAGTGCCATCAGTATTAAGTTCTTGCTCAACTAACTACAGTTCAGTGGGTCCTAGCAGCTCTATTCCTTCGGTTGTTCGTAAAACATGCTGTCTTGTGGATGGAAGTTCTCCCTGTACTCAAATGTCTTCATGTCCAATTTTGTTTTCTCGTGATTCTGATGGCGAAGCAGAATCCGAATTCAGAGATAATTCTTTGAAGGTCTCGAATAATTCAAATCCAGATACGACGTCGCTGTGTAATGAAGTAACTTACTGTACACAAACACCCCTTGTTTGTGGTGAACGGAAGTCACGATCGAATTTTGTCTGTGAATACTGCAAAAGAGAGTTCTCACAAAAAGTACATTTACAAAAACATATAATGTCGACTCATACTAAAAACAAACCATTTAAATGCTCAGTCTGTTCTTACCAAACTGTTGAGAAAAGTCATTTAAAAACTCATTTTCGGAAGCATACGGGAGAAAAACCATTTTCCTGTACTCTATGCACCTACAGAGCAGCTCAACATTCTACACTAAAACAGCATTGTATTAAGAAACATCGTAATGCATTTCTTTCCTGCAGAAACTGCAGCGTTCGTTTTGTAACACTGAACGAACTTGAAAATCATCAAAAATTATGTTTTTCTTAGCTCTACTCATGGTCATCAATATTTGATTCATCTTGATCTAAAGTGAATAATATAATCTTTTATCAATTGTATGTTGGTGTTTTGAATTGTTTTACGTTAAAACATGTCTTATAATCAGCCCATAATACACATTAAACAACTACAGCTTTAATATGAAATAAGATACCTTTTCCTGATTCAGTTCTTTGGTCTGTTCTCTAAGCTTTTCTATAAGATTCATGGATTCATTTAGCTTTTTATCCTTGATTTTTATATTTATATTTAATTAGGACTTACCACCTTCTTGCTGCTTTTGGAGTTCTCAATATTTTTAAGATCAATTATCTCTTTTAAACTTTCAACTTCATCTTGCTTCTGTTTTATTTCATCAGCTTGCTGATTAAATCTTTCTTTCAAAGACAACAGTTCATCTGTAATACTTTCATTTTGCTTCTGTAGCTCGATTTTGTGATTTTCCAGTCTTTGATTTTGTTCTTGAATATGCTTTTCCCTTAACTTTTGCTGTCCAATTTCTTGTCGTGAGTATTCTAATTGTATCGTCACATCATTTATATTATTAGTAAGCTGGATTTGCTTCAAAATACTTTTCTCCTTTTCTTGATTAAGATTAACCAACTGCCGTTTCAGTTCCTCATGGTACTCTTCTTTTTCCTAAGTGTATACGGAAACTAAATGTAGTATAAATGTTTCCCGGTATAAAATGCTTACTACTCTTCATTGCATATTTAAAACGACCCTAAGTAGCTTTCTTATGTCCCTGTTGCTATCATTCCTAAGATTCTACTTATCGTATAGACCAACACAGCTAAAATGATGAACTTTGTGAATTGTATGCATAATTTTGAACTTATTTATAACCATTTCGCCGAACTGACTAAGTAAGAGCTGAGTAGATGTAATCTTTGAAAAATTACTGTGTCAAAGATTTATACGGTTTTGCGATGTCTCTGAAACACAAAATGAGTATCTAATGTATTTGCGAACCAAATATCGTCCATGATTTCATGCTCTTGGATTTCAGTGTTGTCGCTAAGTCTATTGGAGTTGTCTTTTATAAATTACTCGTTTGTCGACGAAAACTAACAGGATTCTTCAAACGAGTTACTGACCAGTTTTACTTCTTATACTTGATTCATTCCGATTCCTCTTGAAATCGAAACAGCAGACTAGTGAGAATAATGTGCATTTTTAGCTTTTCTCGCAGCATAATGTACATTAAAAAGTTAAATTCGGGTTTAGAAGTCCTCATCCACTTGTGATAAAGTTCAAAGGAAACATTCAAATTTCGGTTGATGCAT